GTTGTTCGACTAACACCCGGTACACTCAATGATCGCGTCGCTCATCTCGAAGCGGAGACCAATGGCAGAGAGTGTGCTCCGTCACAAAGTTCTTGCTGTATGCACAGATGCTTCGCACTGGTTCGTAGAGGATGAAGGTGTCACTGTTATTGTTTCTAGCCACTTTACTGCCAGTCGTGGGTGCGGTCTTACCTTGTTACCATGGAATCTCGTAGAACGTTACAAGATTTCGACATGCGCTCGTCTTGAACTCACACGCAAATATTCGCAAAATTATAAGATTTAGTGAACATAACTTTCTAAACAACCCAAAATTCGTCGTGCTCTTGTCACGCAACTCACACTACTGTGCATCAAACCGCACATGTTTTTTTGGTCAATCTACAAGTGACATCCCTATTACAGGATGAGGGCACGTTGACAGCTGCTGAGCCGACTCCGAAACCTGTAAGTCAATGTTTCCGTTCATATCTTCACCAGTTTCACTCACACGATACTGCACACCTCATGTTTAGATGTGGTTTTTCCCATGTGACTGTATGTTATATAGGGGTCATAGAAAAGAGTTCTTTGATTTTCTAGTTTTGCCTTTTGCAGGATGAGGGCACGAATACTGCGGCTGAGCCAACTCCGAGACCTGTGAGACCATTTTTCGTTTGTCATCTTTTATTTATTGCCCTTTTTCCATACTACTACGTTTCTGTAAAATTAGAGCTGGTCAATCCTTATGCTTTTTGCAGGACGAGGGCACGAATACAGCAGCTGAGCCAACTCCGAGACCTGTGAGACCATTTTTTTCGTTTGTCACCTTTATTTATTGCGCTTTTTCCATACTACTGTGTTTCTGTAAAATTAGAGCTGGTCAATCCTTATGCTTTTTATAGGACGAGGGCACGAATACAGCAGCTGAGCCAACTCCAAAACCAGTAAGTGGATTTTTGACGGTGTCCGTCCTGATCCTTTCTTTACGCTCGTTTTTTCCTCGTATAAGGGTGTGATTTAATGAATTCGCACAAGCTGTAGATATTAGAGGTGATCATCCACAAAACGACATTTTTTACAGGATGAGGGCACGTTGACAGCCGCTGAGCCCACTCCAAAACCTGTGAGAGTGTTTTCGTTTATTGCCACACGTTTGGATTTCTTTTCCCATATTCCTGTATGACATATAAGGGTCATAGAAATGGGAGTTGCTTGACTCTTAAGTTATGCTTCTGCAGGATGAGGGCACGAATACTGCAGCTGAGCCAACTCCGAGACCTGTGAGACCATTTTTCGTTTGTCATCTTTTATTTATTGCCCTTTTTCCATACTACTACGTTTCTGTAAAATTAGAGCTGGTCAAATCCTTATGCTTTTTGTAGGACGAGGGCACGAATACAGCAGCTGAGCCGAACTCCGAGACCTGTGCCGAGACCTGTGAGACCATTTTTCATTTGTCATCTTTTATTTATTGCCTTTTTCCATACTACTACGTTTCTGTAAAATTAGAGCTGGTCAATCCTTATACTTTTTATAGGATGAAGGCACGAATACAGCAGCTGAGCCAACTCCAAAACCAGTAAGTGGATTCTTGGCAGTATCTCGTCCTATCTTTCTTCACGCTCGCATCATTTTTGAAAGACATTTTTCACAGGACGAGGGCACGCTTACAGCCGCTGAGCCCACTCCGAAACCTGTGAGACCATTTTTCGTTCGTCACCTCTTATTTATTGCGCTTTTTCCATAGTACTGCATTTCGTATGAGGATTGTAGAATTAGAGTTACTCAATCCTTATGCTTTTTATAGGACGAGGGCACGAATACAGCAGCTGAGCCAACTCCGAGACCTGTGAGACCATTTTTTAGTTTGTCACCCCTTATTTATTGCGCTTCTCCATACTACTGCGTTTCTGTAAAATTAGAGCTGGTCAATCCTTATGCTTTTTATAGGACGAGGGCACGAATACAGCAGCTGAGCCAACTCCGAGACCTGTGAGACCATTTTTTAGTTTGTCACCCTTATTTATTGCGCTTCTCCATACTACTGCGTTTCTGTAAAATTAGAGCTGGTCAATCCTTATGCTTTTTATAGGACGAGGGCACGAATACAGCAGCTGAGCCAACTCCAAAACCAGTAAGTGGATTCTTGACAGTATCTCGTCCTGATCCTTTCTTCACGCTCGTCTTTTCTTCGCATTACCGTATGACTTACATTGGAAGGATACCAGGTCGAGTGGCTATTTGTGAATGAAATCTATACTCACAGACGTGTTTTCGGACGCTGATCTCAAATCCGTCTTCCAAATTTGCGGAACGATTCTCTGAACAGAGTTACAAGGTTGTTTTAAATGAGAAGCCCACCCTAAGAGAGACCGGCAAAGAAAAGTTGGCAGCAGCGATTTGGTCGAAAGTGCTCGCGCTTGCGTTGGTGAAACCATAGATCGAATCTTGTTGTGCTTAAATACTTGGCATTTTATAATTGTGTCTGTTTTCAGTGCAAAAAAACTAGTCACCACCGAAATGTGAACTGCATACAACTCTATCACGCGTTGAGAGGAGTTCTCTTCAAGCATAAACTATTTACGTCACAATGTTTGTGACCAGTTATTTTACAAGTGTCGGGGTGTTTCTACGTCACGGAAGGTGACTCATCGGATCCAAGTATCCCTAGAGGCTGATTCCTAGAAAACTGGCATTGTGAACCTTTTCGAAAACTTGGACAATCAGTCGTCAGTGTTATCACTAGCAGTAACCCGCACTGTCCCATAGACGGCAACCAGTGTGTACTTAACAAACACAACCTAAGACGTCGAATAACGTAGGCAAATAAAACATATACACAGTATAACTGAAGGTTTGATCCCATTCCTTGAATAGACTCTGACAGTTTAGAGCCAGTGACTGCCCAATTTTCGACATTACGCCAAAATTTTAGATTTGATCAAAAGTTGTCGAAAGGGGTAGTTCGACGCGCTGAACACGAATATCACCTCTGTTTGGCACGAAAGTTCCTGACGCGTGCGCTACGGGTACCAGAGGCGGTCATTTGCAAATGACGCGCACAGTGATCGAAGCTCCTCGCTAGCTCCTCACACTTGTAATATAGGCAGTTGCTGATGAATTAGCATAAATGAGGGTCTCCTTAACAATGTTAAGGAAAAGCAAAAGTCAGAACTCGCCGAAGAAGTCGATCTCACGACCTCTTTCTTGTCGGCCTGGGCCGCTGCCACTGCACTATCTCGCTTCATAACTACGTTCAGAGAATCGTTCCGCAGATTTGGAGAGCAGATTCGAGATCAGCGTCCAAAAACCAGTGGTCTAAAAACACGTCCAGGGTGTATGATTCGTTACAAATGGCCACTTCGACCTGGAATCCTTCCCTTGTTAGTCAACTCGCAAAAGCCGTATATATTGGAGGTAATCATTTTTGAAACGACATTTTTTACAGGACGAAGGCACTTTGACAGCTGCTGAGCCGACTCCGAAACCTGTGAGCTGTTTTCATTTGCCTGCTCATGTTTGCATGTGCTTTTCGCATATTAGTACGACGTATGAGGGTCGTAGAAATGGGAGTTGCTTGACCCTTTAGTTTTGCTTTCCACAGGATGAGGGCACGAATACAGCAGCTGAGCCAACTCCAAAACCTGTGAGATTACCATTTTCGTTTTCACTTCTTATTTGTTGTGCTTTTTCCATACCACAGCATTCCGTATAAGGACCGTGAAATTATAGCGAGTCAATCTTTTACTTATGGTTTTGCAGGACGAGGGCACGAATACAGCAGCTGAGCCGACTCCAAGGCCTGTGAGTTCATTATCATTACCACTGCATATCTGTAGGAAAGCTGACCATTCATGGCTGTGGATTAATGGTTTGAACGAAAATGATGCTCTTTTTGCAGGATGAGGGTACTCTGACAGCTGCTGAGCCGACTCCGAAGCCTGTAAGCAAAATTTTCTTTACCATTCCACAGCGTTGCAACTCAAATTCGTGGGAGTGGTCATTGTGAAAATCAATAGTAGAACTATCGTTTATATTAATAAAATGATGCACTGTTTTTTTAGGATGAGGGTACATTGACAGCTGCTGAGCCAACGCCAAAACCTGTGAGCGACATTTTGGTTGTCATCTTACATTTATTTATATCCCTTTACTCTTGCACGCACGTCAGTTCGGCTGGCGCACCCTACCGCGCGCATCGTGTTTTAGGCTTTAGGAGTCAGATGGTGAGTGATCACTTTATGGGACTACGATCAATGTTGTTCTCCAATGTTGTCTGTGATTTCTGTCGCCTTAAGAAGGAACACTTTTGTGCATAGTGCTGGCTGACGAGTTGAGGATACTGATAATAGTGATGATGGAGCAGTCATTTCCTGTTGCTTTTAAAATGTTTTAATGACGGAGAAGATACTTCCTATTGCTCGTCTTATTTCTACGAACATCCAGCTTCGGGAATGAAGATGGTCTAGCGCTCGGATATCCTAACGAATGTCGTTACTAATGGCAGTGGATGAGGAGAGAGGTGTTCGAGCTCCACCAGTCGTTCCGTCGTTAGTAATCTTCTAGTTTCCAATAGCTGTTCCTTGACGACTTAACTGGTAAACATGTCATTATTGAATCACGCTCTCCATCATCAGTTTTCAATCCAACTGTTGCTTACTAGTATGGATTCGTTTCACAACGGTGCCACATGTACGCCATTATCAATTGCTATCCACTCACCGTTACGCCTCCCTCACTCCCCGAATAGTATTACTCTTAGAGTAGAGGTCAAATGAGTTATCCGGAACGGTTTCTGGTGCAATGTATTCATTCTCGGAAAAAATTTCAAAGATGAAACGAGGATCCTTTCAAGTTTCAATCTCATAGGAATTAAGAACTAAAAAGATGACATAACAAAACACTTGAAAACTGGTTAGGCGAGAAAAACCCGCACAAAGACAACCCGAGAGAACAGGTTTCAGCAAAGACTTCGAACTTTTTGACTACTGCGTGCCATACCCTACTATTAATGCGAACAGTGGAAGGAGACCGATGGCATGCGAATTCTGAAGCTTCCAACTTCTCCGCATCATTTGTTGTCTCTTTCTGTCAACGGACATCTGTGTACCAGTCTCGCCCCATGTTACATGTAAGGGCAAAAGCGCAAAAGTCCTTCCCCACCGTCGCTACCGTTCGCGTTATGAATACTCGTCGCACGCACGAGCACACAACTTTCACGTTTTTCCTTTTAGGACGAGGGCACGCGTACGGCCGGTGAGCCGACTCCGAAACCTGTGAGTAAATTCCGCTTTACATCCTATATCTCATATTTTCCCCATTTCGCTTTATATTGTTCAACAACTGTAGGGATTAGAGCTGATTTGTACTTCATTAAAACGTTCTTACAGGACGAAGGCACAACGACAGCTCATGAGCCGACTCCGAGAACCGTGAGTGGTTTTTTTTGTAATGCCTAGTATGTCTTCGTACATTTTTTGTATTGGCGCCATAGGACCCAAGAGCGTCGCGGATATGAGGTCTGAGCACTAAGAGCGTCCTATTTTGGCGGTGCTCACACTGGAGCTGAGTCGACATAAAGGTCTCCTAAAGGAACACTTATGTCTACATTCCATGTTTGTCGTTCTGTCATAGCGCTGCATACACTCCAAGGCAAGAGTCATTCTCAACCTCAGTCGCACATATTTCGTAAATTGAAACCACATTTTGCGATACCAGGATGTGGCTAGTACGGTTGAAATTTTTAACTTTCGATTTGGTGCCGTTCCCCAGTAAAATAGAGGCCGGGTAATTGTTGAAAACAGCGAAGTGACTCCCTTACCTGCATCTGCAATCATTATGTCGTATTGTACGAGTTCACGCAAGAGAACCGTGTGCTTCAACAGCGACGTTGACGAGATAATCTGGAACGTGATTGGCATAGTCATCGCGCAAAATGCGGACGGACAATGGTTTTCAAGCAATGTAGCATCGAGATTCTAGGGAGGGCTTAGGCTCGGCCCCAGGACGCTGCCCGCCCAGCTTGAGTGGGCCTGCTGGGCAGGAAGGCTTAGCTGTAAAGCCCACGCAATGGTCGATATTTCTCACACATAGTGGATGTTGTCCCACTTTCTCCAGCATCACTGAAGGGCTATATCCTCCGGCCCTTATTTGTTTTTGTTATATTTGGGTGAGCCTAATGCCTTATTTAGTGCTTGCCGCCTCTAGGCAATTTTTTGTTGATTTTCCCAACTCCCATTGCACCCTTGTTTCGCTACTTTCAGTGTTGAGCTCCGAAAAACGCGCCTTGTTGCACAATGAGACACGATTGCGCGTCTCAGAGATCGCGCCCGCCAACCTGCCCATATCACGTTGCCAAAAAAAGCGCAAAACTCGCCATTGTCGTCAATTGTGCTTAAAACTTGACCCTTTCCCTTCTTGGACTTCACACCGCTGCGCCCACGGCCTGGTCATTGACGATTGACAAAATCCGCGATATTCAGGATTGTCTTGCCGCTATGCTATCTAAAGTGACAGCTAAGATTGCTGGAGCTTGTACCTCATCAGTGATGAAGAAAATCACGAACCAAACCGTTTCGACGTATGAACCGAGTACGTCATTTGAAGTGTCGTCTTAGGAGCTTCGTGATGAGAAAGGATGAAACGGAATAATCAGTGAATGTGTGGTTCCCAATCCATGCAATGTCTACGGGCCTCATTGCCCATCGGCCATGAAATTATTCCGAATTTCTGATTGTGCACCCATCTCCCCGCCTTGCATGGAGCCATCGGTGCCACATGTTGAGAAAGAAGCATAGATAACGAGTCGTAACAAAAATCCCAGACCTCACCTTTGGCAGCAAGTTTCTCGACCCGCATCACTATATGGTTAGCTTGATCGACAAAAAGTTTCTGCTATTCGCAGCCCCGCCTTTTTCTGTTACTGCCACAGTCTATCTTCTAAGGATATGTCTGAAGGCGTCGAAATTCAATTTCGCCAATCGTTCAATAGACTAGCGTTTCAATAACGTGGATATGGCGCCCTGTTGTGTAAGCGGCGGCCAACATTCAATTCAAAGTAAGAAACACACTCCACGAGCTCTCCGCAATGTCTCGCGTTTGCTTAGCGACTAATTGAAATATTACAATAGATTGGCCGAAAAGAAGCTAAGACTGAGATAATGTCTCACATTGTGTGGGTACTTGTTCGGAAAGCCGTTTTCTTGCGCACAGCAGGATATACTAAATGTCAGGGAGGGATAGCCTCTGGTGCCCAATATTTTGTTGAACACGTTGAGTCCAAAACGTCGCCCTCGTGTGTGCATATGGCACGCCTTCAAACAAGGAACTGCGGTTACTGATTTTTATCGTATAGTGTTCAAAATATTCAGCAGCAATACTCAGTATCTGAGACCGCTACAGCTATAGTCGTCGCTTCTAAGGCTAAGGTAAATGTCGTGAGGACCAGGAGCATCAAGACCGCTGTTGTAACAAAGTACTAAAGAAAACCGTAAAATCGAGCTATTGCCAAGCTACACAAAATCTTGCATGAACTTCTGTATGCGTTAACACTAAAGTTTGAAAACTTTTAGGTGTGACTAGTAAGGCCAATCGGTGTCGAAAATACGTTCGGCATCTGCTTAGTAACGCGATCAAACAGTGCACGTTGCCAATGGTGGAACTCTGTATCACTTGAGAAAAGCAGAGTTTCGCGTTTGTTTTGAGGTCGTTTGAGAAAGGTATGCCTCTTCGCTAGCACAGTGAGAAGACGGCCATGGTTGACAGCAGATGGGCAGCTGAGACCGACTCCGAAACCGGACATCCACGAAACAGAAGATCGTATTTTTGTATTGCTCAACAGTGCAGTTGTAGCTTTAGGTGCTGATTGTGGGTTAGGCAGTTACTGTTGAACTGTACCAGCAGGTCGCCTGCTTAGACCAAAAGCTGCGCCATCAACGAGTCATTCTGTCATATGAAATTGATGCACAAGAGCGCAAAACCCTCATGTTGCGGAAATACCCCAAAAAGAAATCGAAGAATAGGAAGTGGAAGCTGCTCCGTGTGCCAATTAGAGCAGGCTTGGTGCCTTCAGATTACCAATCACTCCGGCCCGCACTGCACACCTTGGCCAAGAATAAGTTCAAGAACTTCGACTAAAATAGAACGACGCTAAAATTTTGGTGTCCAACTTCTTCGAGTTCGACCTGAGACCGCTCTCCAAAGAAGTGATTCGTTCCTCGCACAGAAGACGGAGAGAATCAACTGTTCAAAGTGGATGGCACAATTAGGCTCATGCGCTTTGTTGTTGTTTTTACAGTGGAATTTATTGGTGACCAAAAACGACATTTCTTATCGGCCAACCTATTAAATATACAAAAATACATAGCTTTTGCTCATGCAGTTGGTGATGTAACAACTTTGCCTTGTTTGTGAAAGTGCTATACCGTCTTACAGAAACGAAGGTCAGGAAGTCGGGGCTCCAC